CGACACGTCCACGTCTCCCTTCACCTTGGGGCCTTTCAGATTGAAGTCAACGTCGGGCATGGAGATCTTGGGGGCCTTGAAATGCATCTCGGGCATCTTGAACTTGGGACCTTTCAGTTTGCCTTCTCGCCCTTCAACATCCAGCTCAGGAGCCTCAATGTCAACTTTTGGTCCTTTGATATTAACGCCCGGCACGCTCAGGTCCCCTTCTAATTTTGGCCCTGACAGATCGACGTCCACACCTCCTTTTGCCTTGGGCCCTTTCAGATTCAAATCGAGGTCTGGCATGGAAATATCTGGAGCCTTGATATTCATTTCAGGCATCTTGAACTTGGGGCCTTTCAGTTTTCCTTTGGGACCTTCGATGTCAAGGTCTGGGACCTCTACATCCACTTTTGGTCCTTTCACATGCACATCCAAGCCCTTCAGATCCACCTGGGGGAGAGAAACATCCACATCTCCCTTGGCTTTGGGGCCTTTCAGGTTCAGGTCAACGTCAGGCATGGAGATCTTGGGGGCCTTGATGTTCACATCTGGCATCTTAAATTGAGGGCCCTTGAACTTCCCCTCGGGGCCTTCAATTTCCAAACCAACGCCTTCCATGTCCAGCTTGGGACCCGAAACATCCAGCTCTCCTTTTGGAAGGCCAACGTCCACCTCCGGCCCCTCGGCCTTCACCCCGGCCACGCCAAATTTAGGCATTTTGAACTTGGGCATTTTGAGTTTACCCTCAGGCCCATGAATGTCCACCTCCGGTGCCTCAACGTTGACTTTGGGGCCTTTGATGTCCACCTCGGGACCCTTCAGCTCCCCTTCCAGCTTTGGGCTGGAAACATCCAACTCTCCTTTTACTTTGTGCCCCTTCAGGTTCAGCTCCACGTCCGGCATCGACACTTTAGGGGACGAGATGCTCAGGAAGGGCATTTTAAACTTTGACCCTTTGGCTTTGGCCTGCACGTCCACATCTGGAGCATGGATGTCACCTTTCGGACCGCAGATGTCCACCTCGGGTTTTTTAAGTTTCACGTCCATGTCAGCGCTTTGCCCTTTAGGGCCAGAAAAGCCAAATTTGGGAAGTTTAAACCTGGGTTTTTTCGTCTTCCCTTCAAGGTCAAGCTTGGCTCCCTCGACCTCGAGTTCTGGCCCTTTGATGTCCACCTTGGGACTTCTCAGCTCGCCCTCGATTTTGGGAGCTGAAAGATCAAGGTCACCTTTGACTTTGGGGCCTTTCAAGTTTAATTCGATGTCCGGCATGGAGATCTGCGGAACGTTGAAGTGCACGTCGGGCTTCTTCAGTTTGGGGCCCTTCAGTTTTCCCTCTGGGCCTTCAACGTCCAGGTCAGGCAGAGTAACGTCAACCTTCGGACCTGAAATAGTGACGTCGGCTTCAGGGAGGTTCACGTCCACCTCTGGGCCCTCTCCCTTCAGCCCCGACATGCCGAATTTGGGCATTTTGAACTTGGGCATCTTGATTTTGCCCTCAGGGCCATGAATGTCCACATCAGGGGCCTCGATGTCGACCTTGGGGCCCTTGATGTCAAATTCGGGGCCCTTGATGTCACCTTCCAGCTTGGGAACAGACACGTCCACGTCTCCCCGACATGCCGAATTTGGGCATTTTGAACTTGGGCATCTTGATTTTGCCCTCAGGGCCATGAATGTCCACATCAGGGGCCTCGATGTCGACCTTGGGGCCCTTGAGATTGAAGTCAACATCGGGCATGGAGATCTTGGGGGCCTCGATGTGCATCTCGGGCATCTTGACATCTTGAACTTGGGGCCCTTCCCCTTCCCTCAGGACCTTCAATGTCCAGCTCTGGTCCTTCAATGTCCGCCTTTGGGACAGAAACATCAATATCTCCTTTTGGGAGGTTCACGTCCACCTCGGGCCCTTCCGCCTTGATGCCAGGCATCCCAAACTTGGGTATCTTGAACTTGGGCATCTTGATTTTGCCCGCAGGGCCATGAATGTCCACGTCAGGGGCCTCGATGTCGACCTTGGGGCCCTTCACCTTCCCCTCTGGGGGCCCTTTCAGGTTCCTTCCCCTCTGGGCCTTCCAGCTCAACATCCGGAAGGTCAATGTCAACTTTGGGGCCCTTGAGATTGAAGTCAACATCGGGCATGGAGATCTTGGGGGCCTCGATGTGCATCTCGGGCATCTTGACATCTTGAACTTGGGGCCCTTCCCCTTCCCTCAGGACCTTCAATGTCCAGCTCTGGTCCTTCAATGTCCGCCTTTGGGACAGAAACATCAATATCTCCTTTTGGGAGGTTCACGTCCACCTCGGGCCCTTCCGCCTTGATGCCAGGCATCCCAAACTTGGGTATCTTGAACTTGGGCATCTTGATTTTGCCCGCAGGGCCATGAATGTCCACGTCAGGGGCCTCGATGTCGACCTTGGGGCCCTTCACCTTCCCCTCTGGGGGCCCTTTCAGGTTCCTTCCCCTCTGGGCCTTCCAGCTCAACATCCGGAAGGTCAATGTCAACTTTGGGGCCCTTGAGATTGAAGTCAACATCGGGCATGGAGATCTTGGGGGCCTCGATGTGCATCTCGGGCATCTTGACATCTTGAACTTGGGGCCCTTCCCCTTCCCTCAGGACCTTCAATGTCCAGCTCTGGTCCTTCAATGTCCGCCTTTGGGACAGAAACATCAATATCTCCTTTTGGGAGGTTCACGTCCACCTCGGGCCCTTCCGCCTTGATGCCAGGCATCCCAAACTTGGGTATCTTGAACTTGGGCATCTTGATTTTGCCCGCAGGGCCATGAATGTCCACGTCAGGGGCCTCGATGTCGACCTTGGGGCCCTTCACCTTCCCCTCTGGGGGCCCTTTCAGGTTCCTTCCCCTCTGGGCCTTCCAGCTCAACATCCGGAAGGTCAATGTCAACTTTGGGGCCCTTGAGATTGAAGTCAACATCGGGCATGGAGATCTTGGGGGCCTCGATGTGCATCTCGGGCATCTTGACATCTTGAACTTGGGGCCCTTCCCCTTCCCTCAGGACCTTCAATGTCCAGCTCTGGTCCTTCAATGTCCGCCTTTGGGACAGAAACATCAATATCTCCTTTTGGGAGGTTCACGTCCACCTCGGGCCCTTCCGCCTTGATGCCAGGCATCCCAAACTTGGGTATCTTGAACTTGGGCATCTTGATTTTGCCCGCAGGGCCATGAATGTCCACGTCAGGGGCCTCGATGTCGACCTTGGGGCCCTTCACCTTCCCCTCTGGGGGCCCTTTCAGGTTCCTTCCCCTCTGGGCCTTCCAGCTCAACATCCGGAAGGTCAATGTCAACTTTGGGGCCCTTGAGATTGAAGTCAACATCGGGCATGGAGATCTTGGGGGCCTCGATGTGCATCTCGGGCATCTTGACATCTTGAACTTGGGGCCCTTCCCCTTCCCTCAGGACCTTCAATGTCCAGCTCTGGTCCTTCAATGTCCGCCTTTGGGACAGAAACATCAATATCTCCTTTTGGGAGGTTCACGTCCACCTCGGGCCCTTCCGCCTTGATGCCAGGCATCCCAAACTTGGGTATCTTGAACTTGGGCATCTTGATTTTGCCCGCAGGGCCATGAATGTCCACGTCAGGGGCCTCGATGTCGACCTTGGGGCCCTTCACCTTCCCCTCTGGGGGCCCTTTCAGGTTCCTTCCCCTCTGGGCCTTCCAGCTCAACATCCGGAAGGTCAATGTCAACTTTGGGGCCCTTGAGATTGAAGTCAACATCGGGCATGGAGATCTTGGGGGCCTCGATGTGCATCTCGGGCATCTTGACATCTTGAACTTGGGCATCTTGAATTTCCCCTCGGGGCCGTGAATGTCCACGTCGGGAGTCTCGATATTGACCTTGGGGCCCTTGATGTCCAGCTCAGGACCCTTGATGTCACCTTCCAGCTTGGGAAGTGACACGTCCACATCTCCCTTCACTTTGGGGCCTTTCAGGTTCAAGTCGATGTCAGGCATGGAGATCTTGGGGGCCTTGATGTGCATCTCGGGCATCTTGAACTTGGGGCCCTTCACCTTCCCCTCAGGACCCTCCAGCTCAACATCAGGACCTTCAATGTCCACCTTTGGGACAGAAACATCAATATCTCCTTTTGGGAGGTTCACGTCCACCTCTGGGCCTTCCGCCTTGATACCAGGCATCCCAAACTTGGGCATCTTGAACTTGGGCATCTTGAATTTCCCCTCGGGGCCATGAATGTCCACGTCAGGGGCCTCGATGTCAACCTTGGGGCCCTTGATGTCAAATTCGGGGCCCTTGATGTCACCTTCCAGCTTGGGAACAGACACGTCCACGTCTCCCTTCACCTTGGGGCCCTTGAGATTGAAGTCAACATCGGGCATGGAGATCTTGGGGGCCTTGAAATGCATCTCGGGCATCTTGAACCTGGGGCCCTTCACCTTCCCCTCTGGGCCTTCCAGCTCAACATCCGGAAGGTCAATGTCAACTTTGGGGCCCTTGATATCAAACTCAGGACCCTTGATGTCACCTTCCAGCTTGGGAACAGACACGTCCACGTCTCCCTTCAGCTTGGGCCCTTTCAGGTTCAAGTCGATGTCAGGCATGGAGATCTTGGGGGCCTTGATGTGCATCTCGGGCATCTTGAACTTGGGGCCCTTCACCTTCCCCTCAGGACCCTCCAGCTCAACATCAGGAAGGTCAACATCCAGTTTCGGGCCTTTGATGTCAACGTCCGGGCCTTTCAAGTCCCCCTCAAGTTGTGGAACGGAAACATCGACGTCCCCCTTGACTTTGGGACCTTTCAGGTTCAGGTCAAAGTCTGGCATGGAGATCTTGGGGGCTTTGAAGTGCATCTCGGGCATCTTGAACTTGGGACCTTTTATCTTTCCTTCTGGACATTCTAGGTCCACGTCTGGAGCCTCTATGTCCACTTTGGGCCCTTTTACTGTGACCTCAGGCCCTTTCAGGTCACCTTCTAACTTGGGAACGGACACATCCACATCCCCCTTCACCTTGGGCCCTTTCAGGTTCAGGTCAAAGTCTGGCATGGAGATCTTGGGGGCCTTAAAATGCATCTCAGGCATCTTGAACTTGGGGCCCTTCAGCTTCCCCTCTGGGACCTCAATATCCACATCTGGTGCTTCTATATCCACTTTGGGACCTTTGATATCTACCTGGGGGCCTTTCAAGTCGCCCTCGAGTTTGGGGGCAGACAGGTCCACATCCCCCTTCAGCTTGGGCCCTTTCAGGTTCAGATCAATGTCAGGCATGGAGATCTTGGGGGTCTTGAAGTGCATTTCAGGCATCTTGAACTTGGGGCCTTTAACTTTGGCTTCTGGGCACTCAAGGTCGACGTCAGGAACATCAACATCCAGTTTCGGGCCTTTGATGTCAACATCCGGGCCTTTCAGGTCCCCCTCGAGTTTTGGAAGGGAAACATCAACGTCCCCCTTGACTTTGGGGCCTTTCAGGTTCAGATCAAAGTCTGGCATGGAGATCTTGGGGGCTTTGAAGTGCATCTCGGGCATCTTGAACTTGGGACCTTTTATCTTTCCTTCTGGGCCCTCCAAGTCTAGGTCAGGAGCTTCTATGTCCACTTTGGGCCCTTTGAGTTCCAGGTCCAGGCCCTTCACGTCACCCTCTACTTTCGGTACGGAAACATCCATTTCTCCCTTCATTTTGGGACCTTTCAAGTTCAAGTCTACATCGGGCATGGAGAACTTGGGTCCCTTCAGGTGCATGTCTGGCATTTTTAGCTTGGGTCCTTTCAATTTTCCCTCAGGACCTTCAACATCAAGATCAGGAACCTCAACATCCAACTTCGGCCCTTTAATACTCACATCAGGTCCTTTCAGGTCACCTTCCAGCCTGGGAATGGAAACATCAGCGCCCCCCTTCACCTTGGGGCCTTTCAGGTTCAAGTCGATGTCCGGCATGGAGATCTTGGGGGCCTTGATGTGCATCTCGGGCATCTTGAACTTGGGGCCTTTCAGTTTTCCTTCTGGGCACTCAACATCCACGCTTGGCACCTCGATATCGACCTTTGGGACGGAAACATCAATGTCCCCTTTGGGCAGGTTCACGTCCACCTCTGGGCCCTCTCCCTTCAGCCCTGGCATCCCAAACTTGGGCATCTTGAACTTGGGCATCTTGAATTTCCCCTCAGGGCCGTGAATGTCCACGTCAGGTGCCTCGATGTCGACCTTGGGGCCTTTGATGTCCAGCTCAGGGCCCTTGATGTCACCTTCCAGCTTGGGAACCGACATGTCCACGTCTCCCTTCACCTTGGGGCCTTTCAGGTTCAAGTCGATGTCAGGCATGGAGATCTTGGGGGCCTTGATGTGCATCTCGGGCATCTTGAACTTGGGGCCCTTCACCTTCCCCTCTGGCCCTTCAATGTCCAGCTCTGGACCTTCAATGTCCACTTTTGGACCAGAAACATCAATGTCCCCTTTGGGCAGGCTCACGTCCACCTCTGGGCCCTCTCCTTTCAATCCCGGCATCCCAAACTTGGGCATCTTGAACTTGGGCATCTTGAATTTCCCCTCGGGGCCGTGAATGTCCACGTCGGGGGCCTCGATGTCGACTTTTGGGCCCTTGATGTCAAATTCGGGGCCCTTGATGTCACCTTCCAGCTTGGGAACAGACACGTCCACGTCTCCCTTCACTTTGGGGCCTTTCAGGTTCAAGTCGATGTCAGGCATGGAGATCTTGGGGGCCTTGATGTGCATCTCGGGCATCTTGAACTTGGGGCCTTTCAGTTTTCCTTCTGGGCACTCAACATCCACGCTTGGCACCTCGATATCGACCTTTGGGACGGAAACATCAATGTCCCCTTTGGGCAGGTTCACGTCCACCTCTGGGCCCTCTCCCTTCAGCCCTGGCATCCCAAACTTGGGCATCTTGAACTTGGGCATCTTGAATTTCCCCTCGGGGCCATGAATGTCCACGTCAGGGGCCTCGATGTCGACCTTGGGGCCCTTGATGTCGAAGTCGGGGCCCTTGATGTCACCTTCCAGCTTGGGAACAGACACGTCCACGTCTCCCTTCACCTTGGGGCCCTTGAGATTGAAGTCAACATCGGGCATGGAGATCTTGGGGGCCTTGAAATGCATCTCAGGCATCTTGAACCTGGGCCCCTTCACCTTCCCCTCTGGGCCTTCCAGCTCAACATCAGGAAGGTCAACGTCAACTTTGGGGCCCTTGATGTCAAACTCTGGGCCCTTAATGTCACCTTCCAGCTTGGGAACCGACACGTCCACGTCTCCCTTCAGCTTGGGGCCTTTCAGGTTCAAGTCGATGTCAGGCATGGAGATCTTGGGGGCCTTGATGTGCATCTCGGGCATCTTGAACTTGGGGCCCTTCACCTTCCCTTCAGGGCCCTCCAAGTCAATATTGGGTGTCTCAACATCCAGTTTTGGCCCCTTAATGTCTATTTGTGGCCCTTTCAGGTCACCTTCCATCTTGGGAGCCGCAATATCCAGCTCTCCTTTCACTTTGGGTCCCTTCAGGTTCAAATCCACATCCGGCATGGATATTTTTGGGGCCTTGATATTAAGCTTGGGCATCTTAAATTTGGGGCCTTTTATTTTTCCTTCGGGACATTCCAAGTCCACCTCAGGCAAATCAACATCCACTTTGGGACCCTCCACATCTACTTTGGGGCCCTTCAGCTCTCCGGAGATCTTCACACCAGTGACATCTGCGTCTCCTTTCAGTTTGGGGGCCTTCAAACCGAGATCTACATCGGGCATGGCCAGCTTTGGCGTCTGAACGTTGAGTTCGGGCATTTTAAGTTTGAGATCTTTGCCTTCGGGCCCTTTGATGTCCACACTTGGCACCTCGATGTCTACCTTGGGCGCAGAAATGGTCACCTCCCCCTTTGGAAGGGTCACATCAACGTCAGGGCCCTCTCCCTTCAGGCCGGGCACCCCGAACTTGGGCATTTTCAGCTTGGGCATCTTCAGTTTGCCCTCTGGGCCATGGACGTCCACATCTGGCACTTCAATGTCAACTTTGGGGCCTTTGATGTCAACTCCGGGTGCTTTCAGCTCCCCCTCCAGTTTGGGGGCAGACACTTCCAGGTCTCCCTTCACCTTGGGCCCTTTCAGGTTCAGGTCAATGTCAGGCATGGAGATCTTGGGCGTCTTGAAGCTCATCTCGGGCATCGTAACTTTGGGACCTTGCAGTTTGCCTTCGGGACCTTTGATGTCCACGCTTGGCACCTCGATGTCTACCTTGGGCCCAGAAATGTCCACTTTACCCTTTGGAAGGGTCACATCAACGTCAGGGCCCTCTCCCTTCAGGCCGGGCACCCCGAACTTGGGCATTTTCAGCTTGGGCATCTTCAGTTTGCCCTCTGGACCATGGACATCCACGTCTGGTGCTTCAATGGCGACTTTGGGACCTTTGATGTCAAGTCCAGGACCTTTCAAATCAGCCCCTACCGTGGGAATGGAGACATCCACGTCCCCCTTCACTGTGGGGCCTTTCAGGTGCAGATCGACGTCTGGCACACGGACCTTGGGGCCTTGCAGTTTGCCTTCAGGACCCTTGATGTCCATGCTTGGCACCTCCATATCCACACCAGGACCAGAAACAGTCACCTCCCCCTTTGGAAGGGTCACATCAACGTCGGGGCCCTCTCCCTTCAGGCCGGGCACCCCGAACTTGGGCATTTTCAGCTTGGGCATCTTCAGTTTGCCCTCTGGGCCGTGGACGTCCAGGTCTGGTGCTTCGATGTCAACTTTGGGGCCTTTGATGTCAACTCCGGGGCCTTTGATGTCAAGTCCAGGGCCTTTGATGTCACCTTCCAGCTTGGGAACAGACACGTCCACCTCTCCCTTCACCTTGGGCCCTTTCAGGTTCAGGTCAATGTCAGGCATGGAGATCTTGGGCATCTTGAAGCTCATCTCGGGCATCGTAACTTTGGGACCTTGCAGTTTGCCTTCGGGACCTTTGATGTCCACGCTTGGCACCTCGATGTCTACCTTGGGCCCAGAAATGTCCACTTTACCCTTTGGAAGGGTCACATCAACATCGGGGCTCTCTCCCTTCAGGCCGGGCACCCCAAACTTGGGCATTTTCAGCTTGGGCATCTTCAGTTTGCCCTCTGGACCATGGACGTCCACGTCTGGCACTGCAATGTCAACTCCGGGGCCTTTGATGTCAACTCCGGGTGCTTTCAGCTCCCCCTCCACTTTGGGGGCAGACACGTCCACTCTGGGCCCCTTCAGGTTCAAGTCGATGTCAGGCATGGAGATCTTGGGGCCCTTGACGTGCATCTCGGGCATCGTAACTTTGGGACCTTTGATGTCTACCTGGGGCATCTCCATGCCCAGGTTGGGGCCTTTGACGTCAAGCTGAGGCCCTTTCAAGCTGCCACCCATCTTTGGGACAGAAGCCTCCACTCCCCAACTCAGCTTGGGGTCCGCATCGGGCGCGGATATCCTGGGCCCTTGCAGGTAACCTTCCGGACTTCCAAATTCACCACCAGGTGCCTTTGCAGCCATCTTGAGACCCTTCGAGCCAAGTCCTTTGACGTCCCCTTCCACCCCGGGGAAGCCCACGTCTCCCTTCACCTGAGGGCCCTTCAGGTTCACGTTGACGTCTGACAGCGAGACTTGGGGCGTTTCCACCTTCTTGACGTCGGGGCCTTTCCATTCGCCCTTGATGGCCACGTCGGCCACGCCAACAGCTACCTCGGCTGCTGCCGGTCCCACCGTGCCCTTGGGCAGGGCCGTTGCCACCACGGGCCCTTCCCCTTGCGAGTCCACAGCGGTGAATTTGGGGAAGGTCATGTGCGGTATTTTGACCTTCCCCTTGGTGCCGTGAGCATCTGCCTCCACCCCGCGTCCTTGGAGACCCATGCCAAGGTCCTCCAGTTCTGGGGAGGTGCCCTTGACCCCCACGTCCACCCGTGGCTTTGAGATTTGAACGGCGGGAGCTGGGATCTCCGGTCCCGTGACCTGGACGGACGAGGAGGCAATGTCCACGCAGGGAACCTGCGGCTTCGGCGCAGCAACGCTGGCGCCCACCTGCGGGGCTTGAGCTTCAACGCCGGCCCCCGCGGCCGGGAACCCAAATTTGGGCATTTTCAAGACGGGAATCTTGATTTTTCCCACGTCGAGTGCTGGGGTTTCCACGCCCGGTGAGGAACCCGGCGCCGGGGCTTTGGGGCTCGCCCGGGGGAAAGGGGGCCGAAGCACCGGGGTGCGGCAGCTCCCCGGGAACAGGAATGCGTCCTTTGCCGTCCAGCATGGGACCCTTGAGATGAAAACCCGCGTCCAGGTCCCCGCCACGTCCGTTGGCTTCGATTCCGGGCGAGCAGGCCTGGAACGCCGGGACGGAAGCGATTTTCCCAGGTTCGCCCTCACCCTTCCTCGGGATCCGGATTTTGAAATCGGGGCCGACGACGTCGACGTCTTCCGCTCCGTCGCGCCCGGAGACGTCCACCGTGTACGCCGTCACCTTCCTGGTGACCGTGATGGTCCTGCTCTGCGTCCCCCCGCACTCCGCTTCCAGCCCCTCCTCCGACCGCAGCCGGGGTTTGATTTTCGTTGCGTAAATCCGCCGGTACTCCTCGTCATCGCCGCTCTGCGAGCGAAGAGACCCTCGTTAGCGCCGGGATGCTCCCCACCCCCCCTAACCCTTCCCCATCACCACCTCCTCCTCCTCCTCCCC